ATGTTCTGTTGGAGCCCTAATAGTGTGGTGGTAAGATGTGGGAGAGGGAAAGTGTTTTATTTTCTTATGAAATTTCAGTCTTTCAGTGGGCCTGTGTCCCTGGGCTGTGCACCTCACAAGTAGATCATAGTTTGTTTTTTTCTTTTTCCAGCTTAAGTGAAACAGGAAGGCTATTGGGGGTTGAAGTGAGAGAAATGCCCTTCCTTCAGGTAGGATAAGGTTATGATAAGGTCTTTTTCCCTGGAAAGTAGGACTTTGTCATGGAGAATCCTTTGGGCATATTTCACAGTGGTTACTGTTTTTCTCTATCCCTGCCAGAGCACCAAGAGGATCTTTCTCAGTTTTTCACCCTGAAAACCTGGTGGGATTCCTGGCGGTAAAACTCACAGTAGTATGGAGGCCCACCTGACTCCCAGGAGTTTCTCATCCCTATGCTAGTTCACCCTCAGCTTCCAGCAATTCCACTTTTACTAATTCCAAATTATCATTGAGCTCTTCCCACCAATTTATGACTCCAGCATCTCTTGCTCTAGACAAACAGGCCTCAGCTCGGACTCTGGATTTGCCTGTTTCTCCAGACTGGAGATGGTAGTTTGCTTTATGACCTCAGTTCTTTGATGAGTACAAGAAAAGCTGTTGATTTTCAGCTTGTTCAGCTTTTTTGTAAGGATGGGAGTTACAACTTCTAAGTTATGTCTGAGTTGAAACTGAAAGCAATTAATTGCTCTTTTGATCTGAGGCACAGCTCTCTCCCTAAGAATTCCCTTTGTCTCTCTCCTGCATGAGAACCATGGATTTCTGGATCCCTAGCTCCCTCTTTTTGGTAAACCTATTATTTGAGTGGAGTATCTCCAGTATCTTCCCGTTGCATGGGAGTGAAGTTCTTCAGACTTTGCATTTAAAAAATGTCTTTACAATTATCATATGGTTTCACTCATATGTGGAACATAAGAAATAGTGCAGAGGATCAGAGGAAGGGAGGGAAAACTGAATGGGAAGAAATCAGAGAGGAAGACAAACCATGAGAGACTCTTATTAATCATAGGAAACTGAGGGTTGCTGGAGGGAGAGCGGTGGGGGAATGGGGTAACTGGGTGATGGAATTAAGGAGTGTATGTGATGTGATGAGCCCTGGGTGTTTACGCAACTGATGAATCATTGAACACTACATCAAAAACTAATGATGCACTATATGTTGGCTAATTGAATTTAAATAAATAAAAAATATATAAAAAAAATTTTAAAAAGTCTTTATTTTACCTTCACATTTGAGTTCATACTTGAGCTGGGTGTAGAATTCTGGTTTGGGAAAAATTTTCACCAAAAATTTTGATGGCCTAACCTCATTTTCCTCTCATTTCCAGTGTTGCTTTTGATGAGTCTAACATCATTATTATTTCTACTTCTCTGTATGTATGTGTTTTTAAAAAAATCTTTCACAATTTTTTTTTCTAAAATTTCACTGTTATATATTTTGGTAATGGCCTTTTTAATTCATTTTACTGAGTCCTTAATGGACTCTTTAATTTTGGGATTTTTTTTTTTTTTTTTTAGTATGACTGTGAAAATTTTCCCCTTTCTGTTTTCTTCCCCTATTGGATTCCTATTAATTGGATGTTAATTTTTCTGTTTGAGTCTATAATTTATTACCTTAAAAAGAACCCTCTTTTATCTTATTAGAGCCTACTTTCTGGGATACTTCCTCAATTTTGTATTTCATCTCCTCTATGAATTGTGTATTTGTGTGTTTACCGTATTTTTAATTTTAAAGGACTTTATTTTTGGTTATCTGAATATTCCTTTTGTTCTTGCTTCATGGATTGTCTCTTATTTCTGTGGAAGTATTAATTACAGCTTTTATTGAAGATTCCTTTTGTTTTCTGCATTATCTTTCCCCCTTCTGGGTTTTTTTGCGTGTGTTTCTTGTTTATTTTGTCTCTGTGTTCATGTTGGAGATTCCCTTCAAATGTCTGGGGATCCTGGCTCTCTACTCATATCTGAGAATGAAGCTCAAAAAAGAGGATAGAAACTCCGTGAAAAGAGCTTTCCTAGTGGTGGGCTTCCCCATAGGGTGTTGGTCAGGGATATTGCTGTCTGATTGGAGAGCTGCACATATCAGAATCTGTAGGTCTTCTTACTAGTGCTGTTCAATTTCTCTAGAGAGGTAACCTTGTGTTCTAAGCCAATTTGGAGGATAAGATCTAGAGGCTTCACTGCTCCTTTTAAAGACTTTCAACAAACTCTTATTTGGTTTCATCTATCACTTCCACCTCCAGGAGTGCCTCTAATTTCTGAGCCTTTCAAAATTACTGTAGTGCAAATTAGCTTGATTCTTTTGACTTCTGTCTGTACTCCCCCACTCTGTGCCAACACACACACACACACACACCCCATCACTTGAAGGCTCAGAGCTTTCTACATTCTGATAAACCAGTTATCACTTGTTCAGTTGCTTACCTGAGTGTAAATGTTTTGACATCATTTGTCTGCTTTTGTATCTCTTCCTTTGCTTTTGTCCTTTTGAGTTTATGCCTCTTTTATTCCTTTATTGTCCTTTTAGTGGAATCACAAGAGGGAGTAGAAATAAGCAAATGCATTTATTCAGATAAACTATATTTATAGCTCTTTTAGGGGGCGCCTGGGTGGCTCATCCAGTTCAGTGTCTAACTTTGGCTCAGGTCATGATGCCTGGGTCCTGGGATCAATCCCTGCTTGGGGCTCTGCACTTTGCTGGGAGTCTGCTTATCTCTCTCCCTCTGCCCCTCCCCTGCTCATGCTCCCTCTCTCTCTCTCTCAAATAAATAAATAAAGTCTTTTAAAAAACCCTATATTTATGGTTCTTTTCATTCTACAACCCTATTTGCTTTGGTGTTGTAACTGGCTATGAAAAGCCATATTTTTATGCTTTTGTCTCTCCATTCCAAGCCATTTTGATGAGATAATGAGAGGAGACTGAAGAAAGGATGCCATTTAATTTTTTTTTACCTCAAATCATTGATAATTTTATTTAATATATTTTTAAAAGATTTTATTTATTTGACACAGAGAGAGAGAGAGAGCTCAAGCAGGCGGAGAGGCAGGCAGAGGGAGAGGGAGAAGCAGGCTCCCCGCTGAGCAGACAGCCCGATGTGGGGCTCGATCCCAGGACCCTGGAATCATGAGCTGAGCCGAAGGCAGATGCTCAACCGACTGAGCCACCCAGGGGCCCCTTATTTAATCATTTAGTGAGAGATTTCTATGTGACTATTAGTATTTGTCTTCATACCCATTAGCATCCAAGCTGGCTTGTAAATTGTGTCCCATTTACTCTGATCATCTTTCCACATCTTGGTCTCTCTTGACTTCTCAATGAGAGTTTCTCTTTTTCCTCTTTTCTCCATGGCTTCAATTCTGTGGTGGTTTTGTCCCTTATACTGGCTTCCACTACAATGCTGATGTCACAAAAGTGCCCCCCATCAAGTTTACATATGGCATAAAATAGCTTTGCACATCATGTTTACTGGTTCAGTAAACAAACATTTATAGAATTTTAAAAGTTGTTTAGTTCCTGTGCAAATTCTATTGTGTACTCAGATGCAGACATAGAAAATAATACCTAAGCTACCTACTAAAAGTTATTTGGATCAAGTCTGGGCTTGCCATTTGATATACAAGACCAAATACTGTTACTGCCCAGTTGCTTCGACAAAGTTACATATGAAAAATGCTAGCAAAACAACCCAACACATCTGAGTGTCTTATTTGTTGGAGTCAGCAAATACTATAGACATTCAGAGCAGGAGGTCAAAGGGAATAGGAGCAGAAACCACAAACATTTACTGAATTCCTATCCCATGACGCCTGTATTTTAGATGGTTTGGGAACACATTGAGGGGGAAATATCTAGCCACTTGGGTTGGCCTTTAATGATGTGTTGAATTTGTATGGAGGGAGAAGAAAAATACAACCCATGCAAGAAGAAGGTGGACCCCAAAATACAGTGCCAAAAATGATGCCTGTGTGACTTGGAAAGGTGAAGGCAAGGCCTGTCTAGATTTGGTGTTCGTGCTAAGGAAAAGCAGGGAATGCGATTGGATTGTAGGGTGAGGCAAGAGCCAACAAAGGTAAGAGAACCTTAGTTTTCAGAAGAAGGAAAAGTAGCACATTGCATTTCAGAAGTCTCTCGATGTAAGACACGACTTTGATGCATTTTTATGATGTTAAATGTGGGTACATTTATATAGCCCCTTCAGAACTGCAGTGTCTTATTTTTGGTTGTTGGTTTATTTGCTATTGCTCTGCAAGTATCTCTTTTACTTGGGGAAGAAGAGAGAAAACGGGGTGGTTTGTGTTCTATTTATATTGTAGGAAAAAGGATGACAGGTGATTTATCCATAGCTCTGGCAACTATGGGAAAGATCCCTGGCCTTTCCAGAACAGAAGAAGGTGGGTTGGTTACTTCGCAGGACTTCAGGTGATCTTCATTTCAAACAATCTTTATTAGGCTCGACTATGTTAAGATATAACTTTGGAATTTCACAGTTTCCTGTCTCTACTGATTTACCTAAATAGGAGAGATTTCTGGGGCATACCTGGTCATGGAGGGCAGTGGGTCATTCTCCTAAGAGGCCTTAGTAGTGTTGGAGTATTAAGACTATGGTGGTCGTTCGGTCATTTTTGGTAAATAACTTTCCAGCAACTTCTCAAGTTTCACCTCTCAGTGGAGAAAGATGCTGGAGAAAGATACCAGGCCTCTTAGCAGTCAGCAGAGATTGCGCTGGGGCGCTGCAGCCTGGTCAGCTGAGCAAATGGAGCTATGGCCCTGGATTTTGGTTTCGTGATGACTAAGCTGACCCGGTTAGTGGGCTGCTGGGTTTCTTTGTCCCTGCACTTTCTGCTTGATGAGATGCTTAAGCAAATGGATTAGACAACCGCTAGGAGGTACCCGAGCTATGCGTCGACAGCCGGGGCGAACAGAAATGGCTAACTGTGGGTCCCTCGGCTCCGCGGATACAGGCTGGTGGCGCTTTTCCAGGGTCGGGGTTGCAATTAGCTTGTGGGTGGGGCGAAGAAGAGGTCTAAGAACAAACGGCCCTTTAATCTAAAAGGCAGAGGAGGTGAACACCCCTCCAAGGCATTATCGTCCCCGAGGTCTGCGAGCTTGGGCACCAGCTGGCTGCACATCTGGATGCAGCAGAGCCTTTCGATGCAGGGCGGAGTCGAGGCTGAGGATCCCGGTGTGCACGCACCTCGTCGTGCGCGCGCGTGCGGGTCCGTGAGCATTGGGAGTGTGTGTATCTGAGTGTGTGTGTGTGCGCGCAGGCGCGCACGAGTGTCGGCTGGAGCCGCGGCTCCAGGATCGGGTAATGGGGCTGGGGGCCCAGGAAGGAATAAATCTCTGCCGGCCTCCTCGCGCCTCACAGCGGGTTAATAAACCAACCAGTTATAGAGAGATGAGAGTGACGGCGGCAGGGTGACAGCCCCGGCGTGCCGGCTGCGTGTGGAAGGGTCAGGTTAGCAGCCAGTCTCTGCCACACTCAAATATATACATACATTGGGGGTGGGAGGTTATTTTTTATTGTTTGCCTCTATCTCCAGAGAACAAGAGCGGGAGGAGAGGCGCGCGCTCCAGGCGAGCGTCGCGGATCTGAACGGGTCGAAGGAGGCAAATTTGCGGGTGGGGGAGGGCAGGGGAGACCTTGATTTCCACCAATCCCCGGGCATTTGTCTGCGAAGTCCGGGGCGCAGCGGAAGGCTGCGGCGCGCCGCTGAATTAACTGATGAGAGCGAGTTCTTTTCTTCTTCGGGAGGGGTGGGGAGCGAGGGTCCTGGCGGGCAAGGCGGAGAAGCCCGGGGCAGGATAGCGGTCCCGGGCTGCCGTGGAAATTTCCAAGGACTTGGTGCGTCGCGGAGAGCGCGTCTGGGGGGTGCTTGGCGGTGCAGCAGCGCAGGAGGCGGGGAGAGGCGGCGAAGGGCGCAGGAGCATCTCTCAGAAGGGGACGCCGCGGACCAGTTGTCTGGGAGGGAGCCGAGCCTCTCCCCGGACCCGCGCGGAGGGCGACAGTGATGCTGCAGAACCGGCGGGAGCGACTCACCGCGGCCGCTCTCTGCGCTCTCGGAGACCCCAGCGCCCGCCTTCTGCAGGGGAAGAGACCATGACCAGAGCTCGTGACTTGCCCCCCGGCCACTTCCCCTAGAAAGAAACCCTTGAAAAAGTTGCATTTAAAAAAATCCTTGCGCTGACCTTTGGGGCCGTGGGGGCCGAAGAAACGTGCGTGCGAGTGCAAACAAGAAAACGAAAGGTGTGTGTGCATGGGGGGCCGGCGGTGGGGGGACCCTCCGCTGCCGCTTTGCCTGACGCTGTGCTGAGGCCGCCCCCCGGGACCCCGGGGCTGCGATGAGCCCCTGTGGACGGGCCCGACGACACACGTCCAGAGGGGCCATGGCAGTACTAGCGTGGAAGTTCCCGCGGACCCGGCTACCGGTGGGAGCCAGTGCCCTTTGCGTCGTGGTCCTCTGTTGGCTCTACATCTTCCCGGTCTACCGGCTGCCCAACGAGAAGGAGATCGTACAAGGGGTGCTGCAACAGGGCACGGCGTGGAGAAGGAACCAGACGGCGGCGAGAGTCTTCAGGTACTCCTCCCCTCGCGGCTCCTCCCAGCTCGTGTCCTTTACTCCCCGTGCGCCGAGGACAGGGTCACTGGCTAGGACGGCCTTGCAGAGGCATCTCTTTCATCCAGTACTTCTTGTCCTACTCCCTTTCTTTGCCATTTCTAAACCTGAAGACTTTATCTGGGGTCCTTCCCCACCCCTTACACCAAGACATGTGCAGACACCTGCTTTGCCCACATAAAGCCTGTAAGCATTTCTTCCCCAGCCTAAGTTATAGTCAGTGATTCGTCGGTAACTGGTGGGAAGGAGAATCCAGGTGAACTTTGTCTTTTGCACTTAATGAGAATTTATCTCTTGGGCTCTGCAGATGTTTAAAGCTATAGAGAACTAGAAGAAGGTAAGAGGCATCTTCCTGAGGTTAGGTGAGTGGTTGGTAACATAAATCACTAATGAGGGAGTGATGGGCAAATCTTGGGCGGGGGAAAAACATGGACACCTATCCAGGATCCTTCTGCTTTGCCCATGACAAAACACAAAGCACTTACTGATCACCTACTAAGAGCCGGGTACTGTGTGATTTTTACTGAAGACTCAGCAACTTTTCCAGTAACAGATATTATTATTCCCATCTTACCAACCACAAACTGGGTCTTCAGAAGGAGGAGTTACTTCCCCGAGGTCATGACATGACCCTTTGAAGTGTGGGAGCTGAAATTTTCATCACACAAAGCTCTACAGCTCTCAGCTTTTTGGGGGGGGGGGCTTAGACTGTAGAGGACTTCTGGAGGATGGGAGATGGGCTTTAGGTAGAGACTTGAAATCAGAAAACAAACAAAAAACTCAAGCCAGGTTGGAAATTAGAATGCTGGGGCTCAGAGGTTGTAATTTTCCTTCCTTTCTGTGAATTTCAGCATAAGTGTCTAAAAATAAGTTCTTGGCAGCAGGGTTTGTGTAGTTAGATTGGGAGGGAAGGTAATTTTCCTTCCTCACTTCCCTGGGCATGTTGAGGGGGACACACAGGGGCCTCCACGAGGGCCATATGCCCCTTTCCCCTTCAGTCCCTGGGGCCAAAGATGCTGCAGTTGGCTCTTCCTGAGATTGTAGTGGTCTAGGTGGGGAGTGCTTTCCTTTGCTCTGCCTAGGATCTTTGCAAGCAGTATAGACGGGCAGCTGAGAGCCAACTTAAACATTTTCACTACTCTTGGTTACAAATGTTCAGAAACATCTATGAATTACAAAAAAACTTTTTAAACAGATGGTTTCCTTCTCCTCCTTGGTCGGGCCTGCTCCTGGAAAGAAGGTCAAAGAGATAATAGCCAATTCTTTCAGGGGAAGGCAGATGAATTCTTTGAACTGGGAGGGAAGACTTTCCTTCTCTCTTTTTCTTTAGAATTCAGCTATCATTAAGTTTAAAAATAACCCTACACCCCTTAAAAGTATGTAAGGGCTAATTTTCTCTCGCCTTCACAGTATTGATTGTTGGACTCAAAAGCACCCCAACGGCATAGCATCCAGCAATTCTTTTCCCTAAAGACAGAAAGCACTTTTATCCCAAGTAATATAAGGAAATGAGTTAAGAACTTCCCATTGATTTGCAGTGAAAGAGTCCATTTTTGGTATAGGAGGAAGAATAAGGAAGCTCTTTTAGAGCATAAATTTCTTTTGCAGGACATAATCAAGTGGAAAATGCTTCATATTCTGAGAAACACAAACTGATCATTTCTGAGACACATTTGTCCCTTGCTGTCTGTAGCCTGGAGTAATCTTCAGTGTGGCTGTCATTTGGTCTAGTCTCTATGTGCAGAGAATTACTAATTAAAATCCACACAGTATAAAAAACTGCCTAAACACATATCCCTCAAAGTTAGTGTCTGTAAAAGTGTGTAAGATGCACCATTGCTTGTTGAAAAGAGTTTGGGCTTTGGACTAGAATTCTAGACTAGTAGAATTTCTAGGCTGTGTGTGTGCCATGACTAGATAGATAAGGAACAGAGTATCTTTGGCAATCCACTCTATGTCTTTGAGTCTTAGTTTCCATATATTTTATTTAAATTCAATTAATTAACATATATTATTTGTTTCAGGGGTGCAGGTCTGTGCTTCATCAGTATTATATAAGTCATATTAACCAGTCTTATAATACCCAGTGCTCATTACAACACATACCCTCCCCAGTGTCCATCACCCAGTTGTCCCATCCCTCCACCCTTTTCCCCTCCAGCAATACTCAGTTTGTTTCCTAAGATTAAGAGTCTCTTATGGTTTGTCTCCCTCTCTGGTTTTGTCTTGTTTCATTTTTTCCTCTTTTCACAGGGATAATAACATTTACCTTGCAGGGTTGGTATAGGTTTAAATAAAAAAAATGATGCCAAGTGTTTGGCACATTCACCCAGTCAATGGTGTTATTATAATTGTCATGAATTATGATTTTCTGTATATGTTACAACTTAAATAAGGACTTCTGGCCAGCCCATAAGAATTTGGAACATTTTGCGTGCCAAATTTGCAGAGAAACATTACAGGTCAATATACTACCCCCACCCCCCAGCTTCTTTACATTGAACCTAATAAATAGGGATGAGGAGTTTTATTTATTTTTATTTTATTTTTTTTAAGAGAGCGAGTTCTTTTTTTTTTTTTTTTAAGATTTTATTCATTTATTTGACAGAGAGAGACACAGCGAGAGAGGGAACACAAGCAGGGGGAGTGGGAGAGGGAGAAGCAGGCTTCCCCCTGAGCAGAGAGATGTGGGGCTCAATCCCAGGACCCTGGGATCATGACCCGAGCCGAAGGCAGATGCTCAACAACTGAGCCACCCAGGCGCCCCAGGGATGAGGAGTTTTAAAAGATAAAAGTATCATGCTTTGTTAAGTCAAAAAAAATTTTGTATTCTGCATCTATAATAAAATCTGTTGTTTTAAATGTGGATTTTTAGTTTGTGGGTAATAGTGTATGTTTTTAAAATATTAGACAGGTCAGCCAGAGGCCTTTATTATGTTAAGAAGGCATAACTTTTGCAAACCGGTGGCTGTGTTTTCCAGTCTAAAATATCTTCTGCACAGGGGCGCCTGGGTGGCTCAGTTGTTAAGCGTCTGCCTTCGGCTCAGGTCATGATCCCAGGGTCCTGGGATCGAGCCCCGCATCGGGCTCCCCGCTCTGCAGGAAGCCTGCTTCTCCCTCTCCCACTCCCCCTGCTTGTGTTCCCTCTCTTGCTGTGTCTCTCTCTGTCAAATAAATAAATAAAATCTTTAAAAAAAATATATCTTCTGCACAAATAGAAATATATGTACACAAATATACAATATGCACTTATGTGTGGAGATAAATGCACATTCATAAACTATGGAGTGATGTCATGTATATGTGTAAATTTATACACATATTCATATATACACACATATATATAATTGCAATCAGTTAATTGACCAGTATTTAATGAATGACTGTTATACACCAGATATGAGTTAGGCCCTGGGAGATAGCAGGGAACAGGATGGACAGATTGCTTTCTCTGAGACAACTTACCTCCTACTGGGGGGTGACTGACAAAAACAAATGAGTAAAGCAATAGGATGATTTAAAGTACCGTTAAATGCTATGAGGACAAAGGAAAGTGTTTTGTTATGTGTATAAGCATTAGAATTTCAGATTACATTTTGCCCTCTGTGCTTTCATTTACTTTTGTGATTTTCTTCTCTTGGCTCAGACCTTAAGTATGACTTCTCAGAGGGAAACCTTGACAAATCTCATAGGAGAAGGCAGCAAGAAAGTCACAGAGCTGCAAGAGTTTTGAACTAGAGAGGAGGTTTTCGTAACATCCACATGGCAACAGAAAGATAAGGAATCAATTGGCTGTATCATAGAAATATTGGAGAGTTTCTGTGCAACTCTTGTTGCTTCTGAATGAGTAGTCAAGCAGTGTGGGGAAATGCTGAACCAAAGTGGCATTTGTCTCTTCCATCAGGGCCTCAGCCACTTCATTTGCTTCTCTGAAAGAAACCAGCTCACAATTTATGCTCAAGACTCTATCCCTGGTGTCAGACATAGTAATAATGACAACAGTAACAACAACAAAACTGACAAATTATTAGGAGCTTATAATGTGCATGACACTATGCTAAGTGCTTTACATGTACTGTCTCATTTAATTCTCCTAACAACCTTGTATAAGTGGATACATTATCATCCACATTTGTAGAGAGGAACATGCCCAGGTCCCTGCCATCACGGGATTTGCTGTAATCCCAGGGATAGGCATATGTGTGTATAATTAACTAACCAGCTGGACATAGGGCCATCAAAGAGAGGCAGCATAGCAGAGAGTAAAACTGATGGACTCGGGAGCTGTCAGAGCATGGTTGGAATCCCAGCTGTATCCCTTTCTGGTTGTATGATCATTGGTAAGTTCAACCCTCAGAGCTTCAGTCTCCCCATTTGTAAAATGGGGTGTGTAGTAATTTCTTACAAGTTCGCAGTGCAAGTTACATAGTGGCGTATTGAAAGCACCTAGAACAATGCTTGCCATATACTTCTGTTCAATGCATGGTCGTTATAACAAGAGAAACATGAGCAAAGTGCTGGGGAAGTTCACAGAACATGGCTTTTAATTCTGCTGGAAGGAGGGAAATCAGACAGGAGGTGGTGTTTGCACTAATCCTTAAAGGATGGTAAAATTGGGTGGTAGTAAGAGGTGAGGGCAGAAGGATATTCTAGGCAGGGAGAACAGCAAAGGCCAAAGCAGGGAGATGTGGAAATTCTTGATGTGCTTCCTATATGGAAAGGTATTAATTTTCCCACAGAGAATGTAGTAAGAAGGTAGACTGGGAGGTAGACGGAGGCCAGGTCACCATCTCTGAATGGGCTTGAGGTGTGGTTTGTGAAAAATGAACAAACATCAAGGAAGTATCCAAGGGCACTGGCTGTGTGTCAGATGTCAGCAGAGTTGGCACCTCACTGTTACTGGTGGACTGGGGGATAGAGGATAACACACGCAAGTGCTCTGAAAATTCTGTATATTCACT